CACACACACACACACACACACACACACACACACACACACCGGTATATATCACACTTCTCAGATCTCAAGGAATTAAATTTTAAATCTGATTATAGTTTGATTTGAGGCACAAAAATCTCTCGAAACTCAATTCATGTGCCCCTGAGGACTGGATCAAAACGCAAGTGGAAAACAACCTGCTTGATGCAGCTTCTGTCAATGTCTTCCAGTCAACTTTTCTCACAAGTTTAAACTAATAGAGTTGAAGTTGATCATTATTTTCATTGCTAAATTAAAACGAGAACACTTGTCATTTTAAAGGATATCGTATCCAGAAAAAAATATGAAAAAATCAGACAGACTGGCACATTCTTCCCCAAAATCTTTTTTTTTCCCTCAATGAGGATACTTTATTGATTGCTTCAAAATAATATCAGTTTGGACTCTGACGTATAAATCCAATTGATGTCCACATACACACATTTCTTGAGGAGGTAAGAGGTGCAAGATAATTGACCTGCTTGCTGCATTTGTCCTTTGTCTAAATGTCTTGGTTGCACATGGTGCCAACAGTCTCTTGTGAATGGAAGCTCCCAGTTGTACAAGAAACAGTTGCACGGAGTGGCTAGATAGATTTATTGGATCCCAGGGGATATGTCTGCTGTAAAATGAAAGGGAAACATCTGCCTTGTTGGCCAAAATTAAACATAATCAGTCCTGTTATTCCCTTCTTATTCAGGATACCACCTGAATTGTGAATCGTGTAGACCAGGGCTGCCCAATACCTCGATCGCAATCGACCGGTAGCTCTCGGATTGGTCCCAAGTCTATAGCGAGGCGTGTCGATGGAAAAAAAAAAACACAATATAATGTGTGTCTGTGCGTGTTATTAATATATTTTTGTGTTAGTGTACACCGCACCCTTAGAATCCCATCAGTTTAACTTTCACAAAAAGTATTTTAAAATTTTATTAAATTGAAAAGCAGATCACCTTTAACCTACGGTGGCGCGTGACCTTCATCACCGGAAGTTGTTGGCGGTGAGCAGTCTTGGATTGCACCTTGCGATCAGAGCTGTTGCGCTATATCTTTTATTGTTATTATTATTCTCAGTCACAGTTTGTGTCATGTACAATTCACCGAGGCCGCTGGCGAAGAATGGGAATCTGGAATGCCGGGAGAAGCATTTTAAAACGGTACACGTGAGGCAGGATAGTGAACACGCTGCGAAAGTGCGTCCCATTCCTCCACGTCCGGGTCTCTACTAAGGTAAGCAGTGATTTGCTTTTGTGTCTACTTTATTTTTTGTTTATTTGATTTTGCCGGCCGTAATGGCTATTGCTCATTAGGGCATGTGTGTGTAAGTCCGAGCGTGTGCAGTAACGAGTCGATCGCGGGAGGTTGTTTGATCGAAAAGTAGATCTTTGGTCAAAAATGTTTGGGCCCCCTTGGTGTCGACTGTTTCAGAAGGCAGAGCATGTGTATTTCAAGTCAGACTAATCAGTCATGGCTGGGCTTAAAATTGTTTAAAAATTAAGCAAAAAGTAATTATTCATCAATGACATTTGTTTTGATAAATTTTTCAGACAGATTTTTTTGTACCATGAGAGGAATTCCTACAGCTCTTACATGTGGAAGGGACTATTGAAAAGTGTCATAAACGACACAATGAGAATGACAAAATGTTAATTGGCCGGTATTGATGGCGGCATGTAAGAAGCACAATATCAAACAATCATAATAAACATAAACAGGGCAGATGAGTGCTGTTGAATTGTGGCACTTGACCCTTTCACATATAAAACAGTAACCTGCTGTAACAAATAAATAAGCGGCACATCATGTGAAGCCCTTTGAATCCAGATAACAATAACTATCATAAAAATTAGTAATGTATCTGTTTTTTGTTGTCAATGTTAAACACATTTTTCCCTGTTTCTATGTGCCACTGAGTTTATGTTCTTCTGCCAGCCAAATGCAGGGCACACATAGACAAACAACCATTCGCGCTCACACTCACAACTCGGAATAATTTAGAGTGCCCCGTTAACCTGCCATGCATGTTTTTGGAATGTGGGAGGACATGGAGGAAAACCCACACAGGCACGAGGAGAACATGCAAACACACAAACTTACCACTGTGAGCAATCAGGAAAAAAAAAGCCCTAAAAAAAACCTTTTCTAAATTTGGCCAATTACAGTGAACAACAGACAAACACATTAATAGTGAAACTCTTGGCACATAATTAGCTTACAGTGTTTGGAATTTATAATGAATGTGATTGCATATTTTGGCAGATTCTGGAGCACCGTTGAAAATATCTTCTTTGTATCCCCACGCATCGCAATACAAAGTGTACATGTATATATACACACTCACACACACACGCGCACACACACAGTATGTAGTTATACGGCCAAAACATTATATATGTACATGATAACTTCTAAAGCAGAGAACATATGCAATTCAAAGTAACAACAATAAGTGCAGATTTTAAGCTGATGTAGTTTTTGAAAAATGTAATATATAAACTGCATGTAGTGGAAGGGAGGTGTGGTTTAAAATAAGTGCATCTGTTTGACCTATAGTACATAAAGTGAGGCTGACATCATCTGCAATGACTCATTGACGCATCATCCTGCTGCTGTGGGAGACAAAGGAGGTAAGTATGGACCATCCAGGACGAAGATGCAGCGTTGAAGTAGCCTACTATTGGCTTGTGAGAAAAGAACATATTCAAGTCAAACAGTCAAAACACATGAGTCACATTAAAATTCTGTGGTATGAAAATTCATTGCAATCTGTCATAATGACCTATTCACAAATGCCAGGTCTAAGCTTATTCACCACATTTAACTATTCTGTATATGCACACCAGTATTATCGGGATGCATGAATAAAATATATGGTGTCAGTATTTCATTTCCTTTCCTTTTAATCAGCTGTGACACAATAAGACTTTAGGGAACTGGTCATTAAATACAAAAGGCACATGCTCATAATTGTGTAATAATTGATTTCAGGCAATCACCACTTAACCGGAAATAGGTGACCTAATTCTCCAACTATACTCTCTGCACACTGCATGACGATGTCGAGGTCAAAGGTGCATGTCATTTGAAAGCTGCTCTGTGTGTCGTTCAGGGTATATTAATCAAAACATGCGTCACTGTCCTAAACCACACCGAGTAAATTAAAGATCAAGATAGATTTCACAACGCTTATCTGTAACCATCGACCTCTTTATGCACAAGCCAGCTGGTGAGGGTAAACAGAAAGTTGCAAGTCCCCATTTGGAGGGGCCGTGAGTAGAAGTCGCCATCTACTGGGCAAAATACCACAGTGCATCAAATTAACGTGATTGTAAATGGGGACAAAAAAAAAAGAAAAGGAAAAAAGACAAATAGTCCAGCTGAATTACTCCACAAATAGGGAGGAAGTGTTGATTTTCTTTCTTAAAATAATAATTTAAAACAGTCCTATTTAAAACACACACACACACACACACGCACAGTTCGAGAATAACGCATGGCTGGACTAACTCCTCCTCTTCCTGCTTATCCTCTGGAATACTGCACACTGTGCGCTACTCATATTACGTGGAATCAGCAGCGCCTCAAACAGTCACAGCGAGGGATTGCTGGACTGGACACGAAAACCTTGGAGTATTGCCCAGAGGATGGAGGACCTTGACTTTTGGTTCACACAACCCGGGCAATCGTTCGACAGTCTCAGGTGTCATTGTAGCAACAGAACATGACCAAAAGTTACCAAAAATAAGCACTGTCGATTAAACTGCGTCGGCGAATTGAAGAAGACTCGGAGTAACATGTTTGTTTGTTTGTTTTATTACCACAAATTCCCAAATTCCTTTCAATATGTTCTGATAAATGACAAATTTTGTTTGACTTTATGGATCCAGTAACTGCATACACATGCCATGGGAAAACGACCAAAAAAATCGCTGTTTTGATTTTTTTTTTTACATGTATTAGTAAAATGAAAGGTCTTAGTAATTCCACATTTTTTACCAAATTCGACCCAAAATTCTGGGTTGTTTTGGGGAATTTTTTTCTCTAACAAATTGCGAAGTGAAGTCATGCATGTTTTGTGTATATCTGTTTAAACAAGACATGGGTGATAAATGACACAGTCCACGTTTTATTCACGATGCTGGTCCTAAAAAGAAAATCATTAATGAGAAATGTTCATCTAAGGACAGCTTTTAGAAGATTCTTGTGTTCGAATGACCATCTGATGGTACCATTGTACCGAAATTGTTCCTTTTGAAACCTGAATGGTAAAATTCATCATGAGTCATAATTATACCTTTTAAAAAGGAATTTGTGTGAACTTAATCAAAATTACAATTTCACATTTATGTACCATACGATACACTATTACGGTGTAGCCATACACTTTGCAATTCACTAACCATGATATCAAATCATGTGAATGTAAATGTATGCTTTGACCTTGATAGTGTACTGTTAGTTTCGTTTCAAAAACGGATAATATACAAATGTACGACTAATGATAGTGATTATTAATAATTAAGGTTATTTATTAATTAATTAAAAGTTACAATTACGATTTTTAATATCGTAGGACTTACATCTATCCATATGAATGTCAATGTATGATAAGATTAGATAGTATATTGTTAATTTCTACTCTAAAACAGCCAATATACCAATGAACAACTAATACAAGTGATTATTAATAATCTAGTTTAATTATTCATTAATTAAAAATTAAAATTTGGAAGTCCTGAAAAACCCCAATTAACCAAAGTAACAAACAAACAAAAACAAACCAAAAAAAAAAAAACATGACAGTAAAACAAAATAACGTGACAGCAACAGCAATCCGACCGAGAAGAACAACAGGGAACCAAATACAAGCAAACCGACGAAATGAAAAGGAACACCTGGACGAAACGCAAAGGGTTGAGCGAGTTAATTGGTGAACACAAGGGACCCTGATGACAAGAACATGTGGGAACAAAATCGAACAAGGAAAACAAAAAAGGCACACGAGACAACAAAATTAAATTCGAAACAGAATCACCTTTAGGAAGGTTAAAAAGTCACGGAAAAGCTTTTTACACTGTAATCTACTATCGTACATTTTTATTATTATTATTATCACATGCTCATCCCTCTCGTTAACAATGTATTGCAACCGCGAAACTTTTTATCTTCATATGTTTAATGTCGAAGGACATTTGTATATTTTGTTTTCGAATGACTAACCTCTATTAAAATCCCCCCATGCTATTATTCAAGAAATCCAATGTGACGTTTGAAGTTAATTCTCCGCAGATGTAAAGAGCGAAAAACGACTCGTGGTGCCGCTGTGAGCCCACACAAACCGCACACATCTCCACCCATTGTCTTGGACCAGTTCCAAGAATCACTTCATCCCGGCGCGTTTCGTATTCGTCGTCGGACAAGTTAAATGACGGATCATTTCGATTTATTTCTGACGTAGTTTGACCGAGTATCACATTGCGAAGACCTGGATGTATGTTTTCCCCCGGAACAATGGTAGAAAAAGGAATTTCAGCGCGAGGCCCGATTGTCTGCTGCATTTCTGCTTTCATCGCGACGCTGTCCCTCGCTCATGGAGATCTCAGCTATTCTTTTCCAGAGGAGATGGAACCCTTGTCTGCTATTGGAAATATAGGCAAAGATCTCGGAGTGGACCTGAGGACATTATCTTCACGAAAAGCTCGGATTGATATCGAGGACACTCGGAGACGTTATTGTGATTTGAATCTGAGCACCGGAGATTTGATCGTCGCGGAGAGAATTGACAGAGAAATTCTTTGTGACAAGAAGCCCTCGTGCGTGGCAACAGTGGATCTGGTTTTGGAAAATCCTCTCGAGCTACATCGCGTCAGTCTCCACATTCAAGATGTAAATGATAACTCGCCGCACTTCAAGAAGAATTTAATTGAAATGGAAATAGGAGAGTCGGCAGAAAGGGGGAGTCGTTTTTCGATTGAGGAGGCCCATGATGCAGATATTGGCCAAAATGCTGTGAAAATATATAATTTACAAAAGAATTCGAACTTTATTCTTTCAGTTGACAGTAATAAAGTCGAGCTTGTCTTAGAAAATAAATTAGACCGAGAAAAGCAAAGTGAAATGAATTTGCTTCTCACGGCTTTAGATGGCGGCTCTCCACAGATGTCAGGCACAGTCGTCATACACGTCACCGTGCTGGATGCTAATGATAACGCCCCAGTGTTCAGCAAGGCCGTTTATAAAGCCAGTCTGCCTGAAAACTCTCCTCCAGATACAATAGTGATTAATGTTCGTGCCACTGACGCGGACGAGGGAGTAAATGGCGACGTGACTTATGATTTTGGACACGTGTCTGGCAATATTATAAGTGTATTTTCGATCAGTCCCGTGACAGGCGAAATTAAAGTAACGGGTGTGACTGATTTTGAAGAGAAAGCCTCCTATGAAATGAGAGTAGAAGCTAAAGATGGTTTAGGGCTGACATCGTATGCTAAAGTGATAATCGATATTACTGATGTAAACGACAACGCCCCTGTGATCAATTTAAAGTCTCTGGCTTATCCAGTGGCAGAGAATGTGTCACCTGGTACGGAGGTGGGCATCATTAATGTGCAGGACAGAGACTCTGAAAAGAATGGAAAAGTCAGCTGCTCCATTGAACAAAACGTCCCCTTTAAGTTAGTTCCTTCTATTAAAAACTATTATTCTCTGGTGACGACGGAACAACTTGACCGTGAACTTGTGTCTGATTACAACATTACAATCAGTGCTACTGACGAGGGCTCCCCTCCATTGTCCTCTTCAAAAAGTGTTCTTTTGTCTGTAGCGGACATCAACGACAACCCACCTGTGTTTGAGGAACAGTCCTACAGCGCATATGTGAGCGAAAATAACAAAGCTGGCTCCACTTTATGCTCCATTAGTGCTCAAGACCCCGACTGGAGACAGAACGGCACAGTAATTTATTCTCTGTTACCTTCTGAGGTGAACAGTGCTCCGGCATCCTCTTACATTTCTGTGAACGGAGACACGGGGGTGATCCACGCTGTCAGGTCGTTTGATTACGAACACTTGAGGAGTTTCCAAGTCCACGTCATGGCCCGAGACAACGGTTCTCCTCCGCTGAGCAGCAACGTGAGCGTCAGCGTGTTCATATCGGACGTGAACGACAACTCTCCTCAGATTTTGTACCCTTCCCCGGAAGGCAACTCCTTCATGACCGAGCTGGTCCCCAAAGCTGCACACGGAGGCTCTGTGGTGTCCAAAGTGATCGCGGTGGACGCCGGTACAGACCGCCTGGCTGTCCTATCATATTGTCAAGTCCACAGACCCGGGACTTTTCACCATTGGTCTCCACAGTGGCGAGATCAGGACCCAGCGGGACATTTTGGAGTCTGACAGCATGAAACAGAACCTGATTGTGGCCGTGAAAGATAACGGACAGCCCCCTCTCTCTGCCACCTGCTCCATGTATTTACTTATTTCGGATAACTTGGCTGAGGTACCAGAACTGAAGGACATTTCTTCTGACGACAAGAATTCCAAGCTGACCTCTTACCTGATCATCGCGCTGGTGTCCGTGTCCACCTTCTTCCTGACCTTCATCATCATCGTCCTGGGTGTGAGGTTTTGTCGCAGGAGAAAGCCCAGACTGTTGTTTGATGGAGCAGTTGCCATTCCGGGCGCTTATCTGCCTCCTAATTACGCAGATGTTGACGGCACAGGAACTTTACGCAGCACCTACAACTATGACGCCTACTTGACAACAGGTTCCAGAACCAGTGACTTTAAGTTTGTGTCTTC